GTCTAGTTGTCATCTTCTTGGTATGTGGGGAGGGGGAGGCGGTTTGGCCGTGTTGACGATGGGGCATCGTTTCGCTGGTGTGCCATGTATGATCATGTCGTGGTATTGCGCTTGATTTGTTGTACCATGACGGTGGCGCTTCAGTGTTGCATGAGTACGCGACGGTAGGGACCACCACAGTCTAATCTTGGATCAGTAATGTACTTGACTACTTCATCAGGGACTACTTAGTCATAGATTTTTCTTTTCACCTATTGTGACGGGTCGGTTGGCCCTCTTTATGTACTATATATGCTTATATGGAGTTTTGACCTTGTTGTGTTGCCCCTATTTAGTAAAATGATAGTTGTGTGCACCCTACGTATAACCTACTATAACCTACTCCCTTTGTAAAGGAATGTATATAAAAGAGTGTTTAGATAACTAAACTAATGATCTAAACACTCTTATATTTCTTTACGGAGGGAGTATGTACATTTTTGGGTGGGGGTGGGGGTCTTCTATCTATGCGGAATAATACAACTCGTGGTCATGTAAAGGAAATCCCCGGTTTACCGTGGTGTGGACCTGGCAAATCGTTGAATAAATTTTCCGTGCGTCCATGCATCTCTTGTCTATGAGGGACAAATATGATGCCCCAGCTAGATTATATCCCGAGTTACATATCAACAAATGCTTTTCACAGAATATATGCCTGGATGCCCTAGAATTGATAGGCTTTGGCCTATGTTCCAAGCTACTATCTAACAATTATTATTTCTGCCACTTCGATACACATGAAGCTAAGTGATCCTAGATAATATATACTATGAGAAATCCAACTAGTGTCTCATGGTATATATTACATTGTTGCTGTGTAGGTTCCTCCTATATGGCTTTTAACTCTAGGCAACATTATACATAGCTCCTGGCATGTCACTAGCACAAGCTATATGGGTAGTAGTAAATTGTTTGTTACGTCTAATTAGGTCCCATGAGTAGTTCTCTCAACATGTTTAATTAAGCAGACAAAAAAGAAGCTTGAGATCGACCGTGACGTCGAATTGCAGATATGGTGCTATGGCCCTAGATCTTGAGAAAACAATTCCAACCGCCGCTCAATTTCAGAAAACAATTCCAACCGCTGCTCAATTTCAGAAAACAATTCCATTGCTATATCAAACTAAGCAAGAATATAGCATGAATGGAAGTGCTTTCAAAAATGAGAAAAGAACAGATATCATAATGTCACAGGAGATTGGCTTGAACAGATGCATCTTCATCCCCTCCGTCATCCGCTTATACGTACGTACGTATGCGTGTAGTGTACAACAATCAGCTGGAGCACTAAAACCTACGGGAGCACAAATCAATAATGGAGCACAAAGTTGGAACTGATACCGCTGGTCACTAGCGGAAACCCAAGCCAGGTTTTAACTGAATGTGCCCCGAAACATCGCGCGACAGAGCAGATAAGAACAGGCGTATATTTTATTTCGGGACTGGCTTGCCATCATACTCAATCAAACACTAAGCTCACAAGCTCATACTACCACTTTACTACTAACCAAGATGCATGATTATTTTAGTGCCCTTGTGTCCCTTTGTATATCACCCTGTTATTTCTGGCCGGCCCCACCGCGCCCCCGGCCCTCTCCTACCCTCCCCCCCTCTCCCTGTCAACCTACGTGTATAAATTCCCAGTTCCTTCCCTCCAAGCAGACCACAGGCGGCGGCAGCAGCAGCAGCAGCAGCAGCACTCACCAAGAGATTGCTACAGTCTCACAAAACCACGCAAAAGTTGGCTGTAATCATATATTGATTGATTGTGCTCGTAGAGAAGCTTGAGGGAGGGAGAGAGAGATTGTTTGATTCGACATGGGCGAGGGCGAGGAGAGTAGGAAGGACACGATGGCGATACGGGTCCGGGAGTTCGACATGGAGAGGGACCTGGCGGCGGTGGAGGAGCTGGAGCGCCGGTGCCAGGTCGGCCTCTCGGACGACCAGGCGGACGACGCTGAACACGACGATGGCGGCGCCACGAAGTGCAGGAGGAGGAAGAAGAAGAGGGGCATGTCGCTCTACGTGGAGCAGATCGGCGACCCGTTCGCCCGGGTGCGCCACTCGCCGGACTATGTCATGCTGGTATGTGCAACAATTACGCCTGCCCCCGCTGCCATTGACACTTGTCTGGCTACACGACACCCCTTTGACAGCGATGTTGTGCAGCAAAATTACAGTATGTGCTAAGGAAGTACACACATCAGGGTGGGTTAACTGACCATGTGATAATGCTAATATGGTGCTGTAGGTTGCCGAGTACGGCGAGGAAGGAGCTGGGGAGGCGGTGGGCGTGATCAAGGCCTGCGTCCGGACGGTGAGCCGGGGGAAGACGATGACGAAGACGAAGCAGCAGTTCGCCAAGGTGGCCTGCCTCCTCGGCCTCAGGGTCTCCCCGTCCCACAGGTAAACAAAAAAAAATTGTATTTGTACGACATGGCACACCGCGCGCACGTGTGCGTGTGGCTAGCTGCATTTGCACATGCGAGGAGCTATGGTGTGGTGGCTCACTGTACGGGCTGTGTGTACGTGTGCGTGCAGGCGGCTCGGGATCGCGACGGAGCTGGTGAGGCGCGCCGAGGCGTGGTGCGCGGCGAGGGGCGCGGCGCACGCCACCATGGCGACCACGGCGTCCAACGCCGCCTCGCTCGCGCTCTTCGCGGGGCGCTTCGGCTACGCGCCGTTCCGGCGGCCGGTGTTCCTCGGCCACCCGGTGCACCGGCACCGCGCGCGCGTCCCCGGCGCGCACCGCGTGCTGCAGCTGCCGCCGCCGCTCGCGGCCGCGGCCTACGCCGCCCTGCTCTCCCCGGCCGAGTTCGTCCCGGCCGACCTCCCGGCGCTGCTCGCGCACAAGCTCACCCTCGGCACGTACCTCGCCGTCGAGCGCGGCCCGGACCCGTCCCTCCCGCCGTCCTTCGCGCTGCTCAGCGTCTGGGACGCCACGCGCTCCCTCCGCCTCCGCGTCGGCGGCGCCGCGCCGCTCCTCCGCGCGTCCCTCGCCGCGGCGCGCGCGCTCGACCAGCACGCGCCGTGGCTGCGCGTGCCGTCGCTCCCCGACGTGTTCCGCCCGTTCGGCACGTACCTGCTCTACGGCCTCCGCATGTCCGGGCCCGAGGGCCCCGCGCTGCTCCGCTCGCTGTGCCGCCACGCGCACAACGTCGCGCGCAAGAACCCGGCCTGCGCCGTCGTGGCCGCCGATCTCGGCCCCGACGACCCCGCCGCCGCCGCGGTCCCGCACTGGCCGAGCTTCTCGTGCGACGAGGACGTCTGGTGCGTCAAGAAGCTCGGCGTCGCCGCTGACGGTGCCGGCAATGCCGGCGACGATGACGACGACTGGACGACGGCGCCGCCGGCTGACGTCCTGTTCGTGGATCCCCGGGAGTTCTGACGCCGACGTCCTCCCAGAATTAATGTCGTCCGTTTTGATTTCTACCGACGGTGTAGATACATCATACTCTCATAGCTAGAATTGACATTTGTATGGTGCAAATTGATGCAGCATCCCAGGTAGTGCAGTAACCAAAATTAGCCCTGGACACTAAAGAACAATAATATGGTCAGCTTCTGACTCTGTCAACATGAACTTGGTTGTTCATCTGTCTCACAGATAGAAATACTAGTAGATGGCTTCATGTACAATATATTAACTATTTTATAAGCCAAAAGAGAAACTGACACTTTGGTTCCACTGCAGAATAGGAAAAAATGATATTGAGAATCAATTTATGAAACCATTCTTTTAAGGGACATATTTTTTATTATATTCAAACTTTTTTTTTTTTGCCAATCATCTCCTCCTTCATTCATTCATAAGGATCGTAGCATCATTTACTCCCTCCGGTCCTTTTTACTCTGCATATTAGAATTCTCTGAAGTCAAACTTCACAAAGTTTGACCGTATTTATATGAAAAAATATCAACATCTGCCATGCTAAAGTTATACAATATGAAACTTTAAGTCATGACACATCTATTGATATTGATTTCAGATTGTGAAAGTTGGTACGTTCTTCTATAAAGTTGGTCAAACTTTACGGAGCTTGACTTCAATCAAATCTTATATGCGAACTAAAAAGGACCGGAGGGAGATATCACCACCTCCGGGGCAGAGTCCATCCAGAGATTAGGAGGAGAAAATGTAGCTATTCTAGCCAATTCATGAGCTACCTGGTTACTCTCTCTATTACAATGATCATAGACAAAATAAGTCTAGAAACATGAAGTAACAGTCATCAAAGATGGCACTTGCTACTGAAGAAGAATTACCATCTGTCAAAGATGAAACAGCCTCCGCACTGTCCGTGTTGACGTTAATCTTGCTGCATCCACAGTTTGGGCAAGGATTATTCCCAACCTCGTTGTGAAGGAATCGAAGCATATGTTGTCATGACGACA